GCTGTGGGCTGTGTGCTGGGCCACGGACGCCCCGCTGTGGGCTGTGTGCTGGGCCACGGACGCCCCGCTGTGGGCTGTGTGCTGGGCTACAGACGCCCCGCTGGCCGGGACCAGGGGCTCTGTGGGGTCACTGAGCAGAGCTCTGGCCGGGAATGTCACCCAAGCCTCTCCTTCTTCAGGGCCGTCCTCCCCCCGGGGCCGCCCTGAGGCCTTAGGTGGGTCACTGGCTTAGAGTTCAGATGGGCCGACCCGGAGGCCAGGGCTGGCTCCCCTCCCTGGGGCTGTGATAGCCGCCTCCCTGCCTCCGGGCCAGCTGAGGGCACAGATAAGAGGCCGAGACCATGAGCCCGCCCTTCCCGAGCGGCACAGGAAACAGTGTCCCTGCAGCCCCCGGGGAGGCGCATTCTCACTGGAGACGCTGCTCTCTGGCCCCTGGGCCCAGCTGGCAGCCTGGCCTTCGGGGGTGTGGAGACATGAGAAGCTGGGAAAACCCCTGGCAGGTGGAATGGGGAACTGGGATGGACCGGCCGGGGGGGGGGGGGGGCTGTCCTCCCCTGCAGGTCACAGGTCATGCGGTTTGACCTTCCCATGACCTTTCCTCCTTCGAGGTAACTGTTAGGCTGTAGGGCAGTGGTTCTCAACCTTCTGGCCCTTTAAATACAGTTCCTCATGTTGTGACCCAACCATAACATTATTTTCGTTGCTACTTCATAACTGTCATGTTGCTGCTGTTATGAATCGTCATGTAAATATCTGATAGGCAGGATGGTCTTAGGCGACCCCTGTGAAAGGGTCGTTCGACCGCCAAAGGGGTCGAGACACACAAGTTGAGAACCGCTGCAGAGCAATTCAGTCCTTAAGGGCCACGTGCAAGCTCCCCCCACAGGAGGACAGGACCAGGAAAAGCTCGCTGGACGCCGGGCATCAGACCCTGTAAGGAACTGAACTCCCTGAAGGCACCTGAGAGCACCCATGTCCCCCCCCCCCCACAGCCCAGCCC